CAGGCAATCCACTCACCTCAGCCTCCCAAAGGCGCAGGATTACAGGCTGAGCCACGGAGCCCGGCTTGAAGGTATCTTTTTCATAGAGCGATTTGAGTTCCTCCAGGTATATTCCCAGTAGGGGGATTGTGGGACCATATGGAAGATTGATTTTTAGATCTTTTGGCAATGGTCAAACTGTTTTCCATAGAGGTTGTTTTAGTTTACACTACCACCAACATTGTAGAAGTGTGTCCTTTCCCTGCATCCTCTCCAGCATCTGTTGTTTTTTGAGTTATTGAGGATGGCCATCTTGACTAGAGTTAGGTGGTATCTCAGTGTAGTTTTAATTTGTATTTCTTTGATGACTAGTGAGGGTGAGCATTTTTTCATGTATCTGTTGGCTGCTTGTATGTCTTCTTTTGAGCAGTGTCTATTCATATCTTTTGCCCATTTTTTAAAATGGGGCTGTTTGTTTTTTTTCTTTTTGGCACAAAGACATAGAGTTGACAAATATTTTTGTCCCCAGTCTATGGGCTGTCTCCCTGCTCTCCTGCTGATTTCTTTGGCCTTGCAGACGCTTGTCAATTTAATGAGGCCCCACTTGTCTATCTTATCTTTTGTGGCATGGGCACTTGGGGATTTGATCAGGAATTGGTTGCCAGTTCCAATTTCCATAAGGGTGTCTTTTGCGTTTTCTAAGATTCTTATAGTTTGAGGTTTTATGTTTAGGTCTTTGATCCATTTAGAGTTGATTTTTGTGTATGATGATAGGTAGGGATCTTGTTGAACTCTTCTGCATGTAGTCAGCCAGTTTTCCCAGTACCATTTATGGAATAGGTTCTCCTTTCCCCAGTGGTGGGTGGTGGAGACTTTGTTGAAGATGAGCTGGTTGAGAAATTAAGGTTTTGCTTCTGGAATCTCTATGCTGTTCCATTGGTCTATATGCCTGTTCTTGTACTAATACCAGGCTGTTTTGATTATTGTAGCTTTATAATAAAGGTTAAAGTCTGGGAGTGTGATACCACCTGCTTTTTTTTTTTTCTTTTTTGCTGAGGATTGTTTTGGCTATTCATGGTTGTTTATGTTTCCATATGAATTCCTGTATTGTTTCCAGGTCTGAGAAGGATGCTGCTGGTAATTTAATGGGTATTGTGTTAAATCTGTAGATTGCCTTGGGTAGGATGGACATCTTAACAGTGTTGATTCTTCCAGTCCATGAGCATGGAGTGTTTTTCCATTTGTTTGTGTCATCTTTGATTTCTTTGAGCAGTGTTTTGTAGTTTTTGTTGTAGAGGTCTTTCACATCTCTGGTTATGAAGATGCCAAGGTTTTTTTTGTGTGTGTGTGTGTAGCAATTTTGAATGGGATTGTGCTTTTTATTTGGGTTTCTGTTTGTTTATTGTTGGTGTATAGATATGTGACTGTCTTTTGCATATTTATTTTATAACCTGAGACTTTGCCAAAGTCCTTTATCAGTGCAAGGAGGTTTATGACAGATTCTCTTGGGTTTTCAAGGTATAGAATCATGTCGTCTGCAAAGAGGGATAACTTGACTTCCTCTTTTCCTATTTGAATACCCCTGATCTCTTCTTGTGTGATTGCTTTGGCTGGGACTTCCAAAACTGTGTTGAAAAGGAGGGATGAGAGTGGGGAATCCTTGTCCTGTTCCGGTTTTCAGGGGAAATGATTCCAACGTCTGTCTGTTTAGCAGTGTGCTGGCTAAGGGTTTCTCGTAGATGGTTCTTACTATTTTGAGGTATATTCCACCTATGCCTAGATGTTTGAGGGTTTTTATCAAGAAGGGGTGCTGGATTTTACGTTGCAGAATTTTAAAGAAATTGTTTTCTTTTCTCTCCTCTCCTCTTTTCTCTTCTCTTCTTTTCTTTCTTTCTTACTTTTTTTTTTTTTTTAGAAATAGGGTCTTGCTCTGTCATCCAGGCTAAAGTCTATTGGTGCAATCATAGCTCACTGCAACCTTGAACTCCTGGGTGCAAGTGATCCTGCCATCTCAGCCTCCCGAATAGCTGGGATTACAGATGTGAGCTACCACACCTGGCTGTAGGAAGCTGCTTTTAGTTTTCCTCATGTTATTAGAGTGTTCTCCCAAAGTGCTAACACCTTGGTCAGGACTCTGTAAATGGTACAAACAACCATGTTTGCTGAGGAAAATGTACAAAGAGTATTGACCATGGAGAACTACTTAGACCCCAGAGTTTGAGCTTTTCCCCCAGCTGGTCAGGGCCATTGGAAGAAGTGCCTAAGTTACTCCTTGGCCACACCACAAGTTGTCGCTAGGCTAAGTTCTCTGCACCACCTGCCTGTCTATCTGCAGTCCCTCATTTTAGGAAAAGTGTCTGATATAACAGAGATAGCTCTCGGAGCACATGGCAGGCCCTAGAGTGTCCCAACAGGAGTGAGGATAGGTCATCTGGGAGCTGGAAGGAAGGGACACCTGTGAGCCCAGATGGAAGGGTCAGGTGGATGCAGTGGGCAGCTGGCTCACTCAAGCCGGTTTCTCACTCTGGTGAGGTGGTGTTGGCAGGGCAGGAACAGAGGTGGGTCCACATGGGGCCTTCTGCAGCAGAGTCGCGTTCAGAGGTGCACACCGTTCCTCTCATGGCCTGTGTCAAGAGCTGCCTTCTCCCTGAACCACCACTCCTCCACTCCCTCCCCAGAGCTGCCCCCTGACCTCCAGCTTTCTAGCAGGCCTGTCAGTGCTGCCCTCCCCCACCAGCTCAGATCTCTGAGACCTCCCTGCAGGCTGCATGGGCTCCTGCACAGGTGTGCGGTGCATGGTTTCCAGGTGCAGCTGGGAGCTCTCAGGTGAAGAGTGAACAAATGAGAATGCCATTTTGCTTTCTTTTGTCTTAAGTGAGGATGGTAGTAGTTTTACTTTCCTTCATTTCTGAGAAGGTTATTTCTGAATTCTGAAAATTGTATAAGTGTATTATCATAAATGAAATCTTTCCTCTTTCAGATAATGTGGATGCAAGTGATCTTAAGCAGTTTTTTGAGACCAACTATTCTCAGATATATTTCATCTTCTATGAAAATTTTATAACACTGGAAAATAGTTTGAAATTAAAAGGTAAGTGTTTTTGTAAAGTTTTTTCTTTCCATTCAGTTATGTTTAGAAGTGATATGTGTATGAGCCACAAGCGATACATTTATTAGCTTATTTTCTTGCCTTGTTTTCTTGGTAAAGCCAAGGGCATGGTGGATTGGTAGGCACCTTTATTTCCCTTGAACTTTCGCTTGTGCAGGTGTTAACTGAGCAACACGTGGGGAAAGGGAAGGTGGAAGAAGGACCCCTTAGAGGGCATGTGTTCCAAAGGAGTAACTTACTGAAAAGTAATATGTGCCACTATTAAGAAATGCCGATTCCATTCAGGTTTTGAAATGACAACTGCAGTGTCTGTTTTCCCAGATGCCCAGTCCTACCCTGCAGAGGCAGCAACTATTAGAGAGTTCTTGCATCTCCTCTCACATATATTATTAATGTGTTTTGTTTATACATGCTTATGGTTATGTCCATATAGAACATTTTCTTCAGAAATTAAGCCAACAAGGTCACACTGCACATTCTACTTTGTATTTGGGAATAGGACCTTGTAGCTTGGGAACCAGCCTGGGTTTGGATCCTGGCCCCACCCTTCTAGCTGTTTCTCCTTGGGCAAATTGACCTCTCTGAGGTTAATGCTTCCTCCTATCAGCATTAAACAGGTTACCAGACATCCTAGGATTTCAGGACAGAGCTTGGCACATAGTGCTTGGCCAGTTAATATTAGTCCTGTCACCATCGTCTTTGGTTTTCATGTAGTCTGTTTGTAGACTGATCTAGGAATAAGCCGTATGCATAGTTTATTGTGACACATCTTAGGAAGTCAGTTGTTCTGTAGGAGAGATGAAGACACAGTTCTGTGGTTCTTGGGAAGCAGGAGAGATGACTTCCTGCTGAGTGCATGGTAAGGCTTTGGGGGAGGGCTGGTCTTGGGGATGGACATCGAAGGAGATGCAGGATTTCAGGTGGAAGAGAGCAGCTCTGTAGGTGGGGACGGAAACTGCATAAAGGCTGGAGTGCTTCTTAGTGTACATATGGGGAATGCATTTTTTTTTCTTGCAGCTTAAGTTATGTGAAAGAGATTTGCAGGAGATCAGACTGTGCTTGCTGAAGTCTTAAATTCTAGACTGAGGAGTTTGGGCTTTTTTCTTTAGGTGGTTAGAGGTCTTGAAGACATTGGCTCCTACGATAAGTGTCTTGCAAAGTGGGAAGTGAACTGGAGGCAGGAAGACCAGTTAAAAGGCTGATGCTGTCATCCCTGTGAGGGCTGGTGGCACCTGATCCAGGGAGGTGGCAACTAAGGCAGAGGAACTGTGTGTCTCAGTGGAAGTGCCACCCATGAGACTCAGATATAAAGAAAGGGAGAAGTCAGAGGCTTTCAGAATACTGGATCTGATGTGTGAGGTGCCACCAGCCATGGGCACCTTGGGAGAGCTGGTTAGGGAGTTCGGGCGGTGAGTATGGCTTGGGCAGTCTGTGTTTGAGGTGCCTGGGGGACACACAGATACAAGTGTTGGCTGGGTAGTAAAAACACAGGGGGCGGAACTTGGCAGGGGAAAATTATGCTGTTGCTAAAGGAGAAAGGGAGTGATGGTGAGATCTGTGGGGTGATTCCTTCTGTCATTGGGCTGATGAAGAGGAAAGACATGGAGTTGTAAGAGGGTGCTAGGAAGAGTTTTGTTAAGCAAGCCCTGGGAAGAGAACTGAGGGTCTAAAAGAGCAACAGTGACTGATGACACAGAAGTGTAGGGCACCACAAGGCTGGGGAGGTGGCAGTGACCCCCGAGAGCAGAGCTCTAGAGAGAGGGGCTGGAAGCCAGACGTAGATGTGGGTAATGGCAGGAGCTGTTGTAGGCCACCCATGAGGATCCCCTTGGAGAATGCATAGGGTGAAGACAACTGGTCACCAGGAGGTTTCTGAGGGATGCATCTCCCTGTTGCAGGCCGAGGAGGGCCCACAGAGGAGGGGGGAGCTGATGGTGCAGCCAGCACTTGGGAGTTGTTGGCTCTGTCTTCAAAATACATCCAGGATTGTAGGCCTCTAATTGCCTACCTTGGTGACACTGATGCTCCTGATACCTGAATTGTAGCAGTAGCCTCAGAAATGGTCTTCCACCTCCATACCTGTGTCCTCTCCTATCCCAAAGTCTCTTTTCAAAAGAGGAGCTGGAGTGTGCTTCAAAAATGTGTCATCATGATTCTCGGCTGCCTTAAACCTGAAAATGGCATCTTATTCCCTCTTTGCAGTGGCCTCAGTTCCAACTAATCGGCCTTCCTTTCCTATCTGCTCTCTAGTCTTAGCTGCTACTACTCTCCGCCTATCCTTTTCAGCCTCCAGGGCCTTCTGGCTATTTCCTGACCACATTAGGCATGCTCAGCCACAGGAACTTTGCACTGGCCAACCTCTGCCTGGAGCACACCTTGCCCACATTCTACGTGCCTTGTTCCCCTACCCCCACATTTCCACGTGACTTCCTCCCTTGCCCCCACATTTCCACATGGCTTCCTCCCTACCCCATATTTCCACGTGGCTTGTTCCCCTACCCCTACATTTCCCTTTGGCTTGCTTCCTTACCCTACATTTCCTCATGACTTACTCCCTTTTCCCACATTTCCATGTGACTTGCTCCCCTAACCCCATATGTTTACATGGCTTGCCCTCTTACCCCCACATATCCACATCCTCATAGGATCTTTTCTCAGATGATACCTTCTCAGCAGGTGCTCCCTGACTTCCCCAGTCAGGATTGTATGGTATCCTTTGTGGCCTCCCCATCTGCCTTCCCTCTTGTTTTTCTCACTAATTTATTTATTGAATGTCTCCTCCTGCCAGGCTGTGAACTTCCTCAGGGCAGAAATTGTTGTCTGTTTTGTTCATACCCATATACTTAGGACCTAAAATAATCCCAGAAATATAGGCATTCTTTGGTATTTTTTCAATGAATGAATTCTATTTGGCAGGAATTCAGTAAGATCAGGTGTCCACAGCTTATAGTTGGCTGCCACAGCTTATAGCTGGCTGTCCATTTGTAAATAAAGTTTTATTGAACACAGCCATCCCATTTGTTTATATGTTGTCTGTGGCACTTTTGCACTGTAGCAGCAGATTTGAATAGTTTCAAGAGAGTCCTGCACTATCTGGCTCTTTATGGAAAAAGTTGGTTGAATTCCTAAGTTGGATGCCGTATGCCAACTACTGAGCATGATGCTGGTCCATAGAGTAGATAGAAAGCAGTAGCTGCTGCCACGGGTGCTATGGATCTCATTATTGTTGCTAGTGTCAAAGGACAGTGTGCAGTTGTTCCAAAAGATATGCTCCTTTTAAATAGTTATTATCTGCTCTGCAGCTTTTGGTTTTACCAAGCTAAAACATTTTCTTTGTTTTTGCTGTGCATTCTGCTATAATTTGGACTGATAAGTAGTTGACAAATGAATAAATTACCTGTCATGGGTCGGTGACAACTTGGAAAGCATGGGAGCTCTGTTGAAACAGCTAGCAGGGCAGTCTGCCAGACGTGGACCCCTGTGACCTGCTCGGCTGTCCATCTGCATTCCGAACGTGTACTCCACACTGCCTCTTGCTAGTGTTTGAATAATTGAGTACATTGAGGCTAAAATGTTTTAAGCTGCCTTTTAGCATCATCTGTAAATCCTAAAGTTTAAATGATGTCATGATAACTAATTTTTTTTAATATTCCAGGGAATAATAAGTCACAAAGGGAGGAGCTGGACTCCATCCTCTTTCTTTTTGAAGTAAGTTTTGATTAATCATTTAACTTTTACAATTCTTGTCAAAAGTAAAGTATTTTAGATCTCTAATTTTACTTGAAGACAAATGCAAATGGCTAGTAATAGACCTGTATTTTTCCTTCCTTCTGTCCTCTCTTCCTCTTCTGCAAATAATTTTCTTTTTTTGCAAACACGTGAGAATTTTTCTTGTGAGTACCTAGATGTGAAATTATTAGATGGAAAAGTATATGCATTTTAAGTACTAGTAGATGTTGCTAAATTATTGTCCAAAAAAGTCGTGTAATCTTATGTGTATGTCTTACAGAAATTTCCTACACCCTAACCGACATTGGAAATGATTTATTCCTTTAATATTTGTAAATCTGACATGCAAAAACTCATCGTCTTTTTAATATATATTTTTCCCGACTACTGTTATGTGTTGGTGTGTCTGTGCATTGATCACACAATCCACTGATCATATAATCCCTTCAAAATTGAAACAATGTTTGGGTGTGGTTTTGATTTATTAAGCTAAAAGTTTTTCTTGTCCAAATGTATTAGACAAGTGGCCAGATTGCAAATACCTGGAGAACTACGCTTAGAACTGCATTATAAGTTCTGAAAGTTACTTGTTAGCTTTCTTCAAATCAGTTTTGGTTTGAGAGACTGTGTTAGGTTGGTGTGAGAAGATTAACCTTTATGATGGTGAACAAAAGGCCTAACATGGACACCTGCAGAACTGGCTGAAAGGGAGGCCACAGGAGGAACCTTCTCCATGGACCTGTATGGGGAGGGGCTTTCTGAGTATAGGGAATAAAACAAGACTTGGGAAACTTTTAGTCCATGACTTGGCTTGTGGCTGGTGCTCTGGTTCCCCTTCTTCTTCTTTAAAGGTTGCCCTCCGTCCCCAGAGTAGCAGATGTTGATTCACTGTGTATTTTGTGGTAGTTGTTGTGTTTTCTGTGGTTATCCTCCTGTGAATGAAACCTGTGTAGAGAAGTTGTTTGTAACAGGAGCTTTAATGAAGTCTGTCCCTTAAATATGTATCCACTGGCCATCATTTGTTTGAAGTATTCCGTTACCTCAGTTATTTTATTTATGTAATGACTGATGCATTTACTAAAGAATCTGTAACATATGTGTAAGTTAAGAAGCACAGGAGTAAGGCTCACACTCTTAACACCCTCTCCTCTCGCTCTGTAGGAGCTTAAGCTACTCGGGTGCGCTTCCTTCCAGGCACTCCCCTGCATTTCCTCATTCTTTCTCTTTTAAAAAATTCTGTAACCACACATATGTGTAGTCTTACATGATTCTTTGTGTAGTTTTGTTTGGTTTTGGCTGAATAGAGATATAATCATCTGTGGCTTGCTTTTTACACTCCACGTTATCTCTAAGATTTATTTGTTTTTTAATTTGCTCGAGTTTGTTCATTCCTACTGCTGGATTAAGTGAATATATACGATTACTTAATTCCTACATTTTGTCTACAGAGTTTTCTGGTTTTCTTGGTGGATAGTCAGGTTGTTTGTGAATGGTGACTGGGCAGACTTGCCAGTTAGCCGGTTTCCTGTCTTCCTGCCATGGTTCAGCCCCCCGTCGTAATTAGAAGATAAAGGTGCTCATCCCATCTCTGATCTAAAGAGGGTTTTGCTAATGTTTCAACATTAAGAATAATGTTTTCTGTATCTGTCTGTCTGTCTCTCTTCTCTCTGTCTCTGTCCATTCTCTCTCTCTCTGTCTCTGTCTCTCTTTTCACTCTCCACCACCCACCTCCCCCCTACCCCCAGCAACATTCAGGCAGGGGACATTTCCTTTCTGATTCTCAGGTTTTTCTCATTTGAAAGTAAAAATAATACCTACTTCCTAAGGTTGTTAGGATCAAAAAAAAAGAATAATGTTCTGTAAGTTTTTGGAAAATTCTCCATCAGGTTAAATAAGTTTGTTTCTACTCCTAGTTTGGTAAGATTCATATAAAAAGCATAGATAGGTTTTGAAGTTGTGAAAATTTTTTTTCTGTATTGATTGAGATGATCTCATGATATTTCTTCTTGAGTATTAATGTCGTGAATGACAGCTCTAGATTTTTGGGTGAACTAATATTTTGTTTGGATTTTGGAATCTATGTTCACAGCTGAAGTTGGCCTAAATTTCCCTTCCTCGTGTTGTTTTTGACTTGTCCTGCTATAAAGGTCTTGTTGTCAAACATCTCTTCTTTTTCTGTAATGTAAAATAGTTTTATAAGATTGGAATGATCTGTTGCTGGAATGTTAAGTCTTTCCTATAAAATCACCTGAAGCTGATGCTTTTTTTTTTTCAATGTGAAGATTTTGACCTCTCATTTAATTTCTGTACTAGTTTTTAGGATTATTTTAGTATTACTCAGATTCTGTTTGCTTCTTGATTCAGGTTTGGTTAGTTATATATTTTTCATTCTTATCACCAAAGTTTTAAAACTTATTGGCAAAGAAGCATCTCTTCTTTGAAGGGTCATAATCTCTTCAGTTTTATCTCCCTTGGATTGCTCTTCATTGTCTTCAAACAGTTTTTATTGTATTACATATATTATTATTATTAATAGTAGTAGTAATAGTATTTGAGTCACAGTTTTACTGTCTGCTAGTTGCCATTGTAGTAGTTTTAAACTCTGTTTTTGGTACAATTGTTGTTCCTTTAAATGTCTATTTTTTTTCTGTTTTCTCTTACAATTTTTTTTCTTAGTCTTTGGTGTCATGCAGTTTAACCACAAAATACCTAAATGAAGATTTCTCATCTTGTTTTATGTAAATATATATATTTCCTATATCTCTGAACCCATGTTTTATAATTTTTTAACATTCTTAGCGATTACTTTTTCAAATGTTGACACTTTTCTGTTCTTTCTGGCATACTTTCTAGGGTTCCTATTTAAACTTCTTTCTCTATACTCCCTGTCTCTAAAGCTTGCTTTTATTTCCTCATCCCTTAATCTCTTTGCATTGCATTCTGGGAAATCTCTTCAGTTCTTTCTTCCAGTTCACTAACTCTCTTCTTTTGGGTGTAATCTGCTGCTTAACCAATCTAGTGCTCCATACATTTCAATGAATTTTTTTTTTCATGTCTTAACAACTCTTTTGGTTTGGTTTCTTATGTGGCCAGTTGCTTTTGATTGTCTCTTGATACTTGTTCATTTTAGATATCTTTTATTTTCTTAAGCATGCTGTATAATATTTCCTATATTGTATAAAGAATCCTAGTATCTGAAGACTTCAGTTGTCTAAATATGTTGATTATTTTGGCTGTTTCTCATTCATTGTGTCTTCTTTTCTTGCATATTTTGTGATGTTTGATTTTGAGATCAGTATTAGTTGGCCACAGATTGAATATTTGTTAATCCTGGTTTCTCCCAGAGGGTTTATCTTTGGGTTTGCCAGGAGTCGGCAGATGCTCTTGATAATGGAATTCAGGTTCAGTTCCCTAAACCTACCATGGGTGGGGCCTGGGACTGGAGGGAACAACCATCTGTGGATCCCAGTGCTAGTACTGGCATTAACTCTGTGGCACTCTGCTTTTTTTTTGCATTTTGCAGATAGATCAGGTCTTGGCTCACTTGTCTTCTGTCTATTTCCTTCCTTCCTCTTTGCTCCTACTTTTTCCTTGACCTTTTCTTAGTCTCTTTTTAGTTTCTCTGTGTTCTCCAGAGCCCAGCAGTGTGCTTGGAGAATTACATTTGCTCTTGTGGGTCTCAGGGCTGGTTGTCCAGCAGCAGGAACGTCCTTCAGAGACTCTAGTCCTGTAACTCTCACAGAGACTCTAGTCCTGTAACTCTCACAGAAGTTTCAGTACCTTACCTTCATGTCCAGAAATTCTAGACTAGAAAGAATATTAATACTGACACATAACCATTTACAGAGGATTAGTTACCTATATAGTAGAATATGTATTATTCAAGGCTTTATAAAACTTTCATTTTGCATAGTAAATATGAATGAATAATGAACTTGCATTACTTTGCTTATGCTTATGTATTCTCTTAGAAGGTAGTTTGTAATTTGTATATTTCAACTGGGTATAAGTAATTCCATTACTGTTTTCTAAGATAATGCAAAATAAAGAGATGGTTTATAAGGGTTTGGAGGTGAATATTTATCAATGTGTAAAAAATTGGGAAAGGCTCCCTTTAGAAGAGGTGGAACTATTAAGACATGCTAATTCACAAAAGCAATACTTTGTAGGGATATCCTATAAATAAGAAATGGGCTGGAAAAGGCTCAGGAGTAAGAGAGTTATGAAGGCACGAAAGAAGAGTGTAAAGGGAGTTTCTTACCTGCCTTTGTATAAGTCAGAGGCAAACTAAAAGGGAACTTTTGAGAAAGGAAACAGTCGTCTTTAGATGTAACAAGCTACTGGAGACAGGACAGTGTCCTGATAAAGTCAGCAGCATGCAATCAAGGCTGCCAGCCCTGTCCAGGCTGTGGTCTCAGGCTGTGCACAGACCTTCCTGTCTGCCTTTCTCTTCAGTGGGAGCGCTTGTGTTCTTCCAGCTCCCTCTGCCTATAGCTTCAAAGATGTATCTCACTTAGGGTTTCTATTGTTAGCTCATGGAGATAGTCTTCACATTTATTATTGTGGTTATGACTCTACTTCTCTTTTTTTTTTTTTTTTTTTGAGTTGGAGTCTCTCTGTTGTCCAGACTGGAGTACAGTGGCATGTTCACTGCCACCGCAGCCTTGACCTGCTGGGTTCAGTCAATCCTTCCACCTCAGCCTTTCAAGTATCTGGAACTGTAGGCATGCACTATCACACCTGGCTAATTTTTTTGATTTATTGTAGAGATGAAGTCTCACCAAGTTGCCCAGGTTGGTCTTGAACCCCTGAACTCAGGCAATCCTCTCTCCTAGGCCTCCCAAAGTGCTGGAATTACAGGGTTGAGCCACCGTGCCCAGGCTCTCCTCTTCTTTTTAAAACATATTTCATCTGTCATTCCAGTAGTGGTGTGGGGATGATGGTGTTAGACCCCCAAACATGGATTCACATTGCCATCT